TTAGTGAAATCCTGTAGATGGCCAGGCGCGCCTATGGCCCCCACCACCTGGCACGAACTAGCACCCGATTTGGGACGGGGGGCACAAAAATTTGGAGACGCTCAGGACATATGAAGATGGAATGGGACTTGAGAAGGGGTTGTCTCGTAATGGGATGTTTGCCATCATAATAGCACAACAAAGGTTGTGTGGCTTTGTCTGCCTTGACAGAATCTGAAGATCTAAAGCAGTGAAAGCCAAGTGAATATCGACAAAGTTTTATAATTAAAAATATATTGGATTTATACTTGGAGATTTTTGGTACGGTAACTAAATGAAAATTATTGAAAAGATTTTTTGACAAGTAATTGGAGCGCTAAGATATGTTTCTTTAGGCACTTGGACAGTCGAAACGCTTTCATCATTTTTATGCGTTAACATTATGCTTTTAATGACACTATAATCCTTTCGTAAAAAAATCAATGCCAACAAACCAAGTGAACAGTACTGCAGCAATTGCTAGAAAAATGTAAGAATAGGTTTCGTCATAGATATTAATACTTAAGAATAATAATATAGATTTGATGTAAATTACGTAGATGGATGATAGATTAAAGTTAGATGATGAATTAAAATTACATCATATTGCATTCAATATCCAAGAAATTCAAATTACCAGCTTTCACATTAAATCACTGTGCTGCAACATCAGGATGACATCGAAAAACTGTACACTTGGCTGCGTTCTTAGGACGACTTGTTTCGGAAATTCGAAGAGAGAACACATGTTACGCGCTGTTTTTCTGCTAGCAGCATCCGAACTGGCTTTCTCACGTTAATGTTTACGTGAATAAGCAATTTAGATGCCCCTCTTTCCTTTTTCATTAATTGGAGAGTTAAAATATAACAATTTTAATGAAAACTAATTAGTAATTTTGAGAAAATATAAAAGAACACAGTTAATTAAATTAGTAACTCTGTTTCTCACATTATCGTCAAAAGTAAAATAAACAATAATTTAATTAAAATTTGGCAGTGAGAAAAAATTGATTATTTTCTTCCGATATACTATATTTTCGCCATTATTGTTTATGTTTCCAAAGGTAATTAAGCAGCTCTCTTTGTATTTGCCGTAAGTTATTCTGGAATACTTAACTAACAGCGTGTTTTTGTAAAACCCTCTCGTGTTTTATTTCCATTATTCGAAACATTCAAAAATTTCTAGTTTCTGTAAGATGACAAAAGTCTAACACGATAACGGACTAAGACTGCGGTAGAGGAGAGGTCGCGCAGCAATGGATAAAAAATATACATTAATGGCATTATTGGTGGTATTTGTCGCTACTTTCGCCTTGTGTGATCAGAACAATTATAGCACACGTTCACAATACAATATGAAGACGACTTCAATAGTGGTTAGATTTAAATTTGTTCGAATTCCTAAAACTCAAGATTCACGTTTTACGTATCTTCTAAGTTTTATTTTTAAGAATTAGAATTCTACAAACATAAAAAGTCGAAGTTTTTCGTTGAAGGAAGTCTAGGCCTTAAAATAAAAGAAAAGGAATGAGTTGGTCTCATAAAAAGACTTTCAATGAGACTTTTTGAAAAAGTGCTCGAAGATCTTTGTGCACCTTCCACCTCGTCGAGCCAGCAGACTCGATGAGCGCTTCTTATCGGCTACAACTTACAAAGGCGTCCGCGCATCTGGGCACACGGGCCGCGTCCACTCCACGCGGCCCATCGACGGTTTTTCTCCCTCCTCCGCGCCGCGCCGCCGACCCCCGGCGCGCCGTCAGCGCGGGGGGACGCTGGGAAAACAATGCATCGGAATAAAGGAGGCCTCGGGTCACAAAGACGCTAGTCGCGGGCCGCCATTAGCCATGAAGTTAGATCGCGCGCCGTATCAATTGTTTTTCCGAGACGGCTGCCGCCGCCGCCGTCCGAGATGCGTACGATTTACGGCGAGCTGCTTGCGGAGCGACAACTAAATACGGGATAAAGGGCGTTGGGTGGGCGGGCGCGTTCGTGGCGGCGGTGGGGCGGAGGGGTTTGTGAGGTTTGGGCTGAACGTGTGGCCACGAGAATGCTGAATGCGGAGGTGGGATCCGGACAAGTTTGCATTGCGGTGCGAGTTCGTTAAAATATTATGGAACTGCGTGTTTGCCGGATTAGTCACAATGTGAATTTAAGGAGGCCATACGACGCCGAATGATGCACGTCCGCAGAACGTGCTTGAGGGGCATGCGGGGCGGAATCGGTCCAATTCGCGAAGTAAGCGAGTAAAGTGGATGCGGAGTATCTGAAGGAAGGCAAACGTAAGCATGGTTTCATCCTTTTAACGGAAAGGAACAGATTTTTAGTTCGCGAAACAAGTGCATATTTGGGTTTTATTTCCTTTATGAGTGTCATTTCTGATATTAGAGTTATTGCGGTCTGATATTGCGGGGGATATTTTAGATCTGGCAAGCGGTTTAATTGTCTTGCGAGCTGGTTGTTAGTGGACACAAAGGCTATACGACTCGTGATGTAGTGGAACTGAACATCTGCTTCAGAAATATTGATATTTTCAAATTTCACAGTAGGTAATTAGCAGTTCTCTAACTGCCTTGATCTTGCGAGTAAAGCAATGTTACATCACAGCGTCTAGAGACTCTTTGGCGCTATGGCTTCGTGATCGTATTTAAATTATGGAAGCCAGAGTGTTGGAAATTGCAAACAGGATGATTCTGGAGTCAAAAGAAGTTAGAATGGTATAAGGTTGAAAATTGCGTCAAAGAACGACAGTCTTAAGTACCTGTCAGCCAATGAATATTATTCACATTAGAATTATCTGAAAACAGTCGGCCCAGACATGTCTTTAGGGGCCGTAAATGGCAGGACCGAATAGATCGGGATACAGCATCGAATTCCACAGTGGTTCATGCGATGAACTGGTTTTTCCGTTGAAAACTGTGGATGGAAGATGCAAAAGAGCAGACACTAGAACTGGGGAGTTTGTCGTGATATCCGGAGGTAGTGGTGCCACGTAGATTACCAAACGTCGCCGTCAACGTCAACGCCTCTCGACGTATAAACGCTAGCGTAGCGATGGCGTTTGGAGACTGCGTAATCCGACGGCAACGTTGTGTATTTTTCAAAGTGTCACTATCAAAGAGGGGATGGTGTGTTCTAATTACGTGATTGACGAAATACCGCTTTCGAGTGGGTACACGCTGGCGTTGAAAGATGGTGTCACTGACTGCACATCTACTTCCTGGGCAGTTTTTCAGGGTTTTTTCTACGTGTGTCTCTTGCAAATGAGTGAACAGACGCTGAGTGGTAGACGGGCAATACCGTTACGCGATGGGGAGATGGTAAAACAGGAGAACTAGAACTGGGGATTGTTCCTGGTACTCCGGAGTGTGTTGTCCTCGTAACTAACCACGTCGCTCGTCAACAACGTCAACGCCTCCGACGTATAAACGCTAGCGATAGCGAGTGGCGTCGGAGACTGCCGTTATCCGACAGGAGAAGTTAGTGCATGTCATAAAACGCTTGGAGCGCGCTACACCGCTGGCGTGAAAGAGTGCGCTGTCACTGACTGCACATTACGTTCTGGACAGTTTCATGGGTTTTTCAAACGGTGTCTCTTGCAAATAGGGTGAACAGACGCTGACGTGGTAAGACGGCAGTCACCGTTATCGCGAGCAGGGGGGTCGCCATGACGAGGAGCGAGAGCGAAAGCTGCGAGGTGGGGGGGGGGCGGAGTGGAGGAAAGCCGCCGGAGGGCGCAACTGCCGGAGACGCCGCCTGATCGTCTGCTGTTCACGCGACGCGCCTCCGAGTGACAGCGACGCCCGGGCGGGCCACTCTCTCTCCTCCTCTCTCGCCGTGTGACGCGACGCTGGGCTGGTCGCCGGGCGGATGTTTCGCCCGGAGGGATGGCTGTCCGCGCGGCAATCTACACCGCGAGTTATGTATGCGCGAATTTTGTTTCCACAAAGTACACGTAGGTGCTTGTGTGTGAGGATTTTCCGGTATTTGTTTTTTTATTGAGGCGTGACGTCAGCGGAAACTGTTGCATTCGACATGATGGCTTCCTAGTGGTTTCGGTGACGCTTTTCGACATTAAACAATAATGGAACTTCGCTTAATTTAAAGGATTTATTTGAAGTCCTTCCACTTTAGTTTAAAGGACTGGCATTAAAAACCTTTTTTTAACATTCGTTTTCAATTTCTTAAAAAGGATTTCGATTGTCATCAATTACGTACCTAAGAGTTATTTTGTATATGTTTTTCCTGTAGAAATAGAGCACAAAGTTATTTCACCATCGAAATATTATGTGTGAAATGAAGTAAGGACGTAATCTTCAAAGTAGCCACTCCTTTTTTGTATTGGAACGAATGTACTAATGTCGTGGACTATTCGAGAGCTATTCCCCTCTGGTAAAACTCGGTTCAGAGAATATTATCCAAGGGAACATTTATCACATAAACGAGAATTATGCTCTTCCTTTTTGTTGGGCATTTCTTGTTTCTTTAAACTGGATGGTACAAAGATCTACATTATGTATGAAATAGGCACCTTTTAATTCTTACTATTAGCTTGGTTTGTACAGAAACAAACACGTGTAGGTTCTTCGTATATTTTGTTAATGTTAATAAAGATTGCACATATTACGTTGTCGTTGGTGTACACACGCAAATAATGACATATCATCAGCGATTAAAACACATCACACGCGCGTAAACCACAGGTTGACAGCGATCCGCGTGAAACTTCTCAGGCGAACAGACCGAAATCCTCGAACAGCCACCGCGAGCGTTACCGTCGCGGTCAAAACTCCATTCATCTCCCCGGAGGGGAACAGCCGGCACACGATGAACAGACGCAGCGCCATCCTCCCCCGCGCGGGCGCCGGCCACGCGCGATTACAAATGCCAAATCGTCTCGCGCCCGTCACGCCGCGGAACGCACGTCCGTCGAGGCGCGGCAACACCCCGCCACAATAAAAAAAAAACGAACGTCCGGCAATCACCCCGCGCGAGGAGGCGGGCATCACGGGTGGGCCGGCGGCGACGAGGCCCATCACTCAGCGGACGGCGGCGCCGAAGGCATCAGCTTGCGACGCGCGCGGGCCCGCGCGGCTCATCACATCACGCGCGAGCGGCCGGCACCGGCGACTAACGGCGTCACGCGGCCGCGCTCACCTGCGCTGACGTATTGGGGGGGGGGCGTGGCGAGCGGGGGGGGGGGCGCGAAGCGATGGCGCGCGTGGAAGGTGGTGATGGACCAC